CTGAACCATAATCTATTATGTCGAGGGCTAAAAAAATGTAAGACGAAAGCGAATTGTCACATTTCTGTCGCAAATGTTTAGATTTTTTTTGTTTTTCTTTTTTATCATTTGTTACGTCATCATCAAATACTTTGATCTAATCATATTACAAATGATGATGATGATCAATTGATTGAACTTGACTATCTTCGTCACTTACGATTATGATAAACAGTTTCATCAACAATTCCATAACGCAGTGTTTTTCGCAATGCACGGATTCACGACAAACGATTTTATTTGTAACAAATATATGATAGATAACCCTCTCCATAACACAATGCACTTATTTCCAATAAGCTTTGCATCGGTTAATCTACATTTTTTAAGTGTAAAAACGTTAAACTTTTTTGACTATTACCAAGAGATTTCGACCTAATGTTTAGACTTTCGAAGACGGGAAAATTCGAAAATCCGAAGATATATCCTCATTTTGCTATAAGGTTGCAAAATATCATACTATTTTTTTCCCAGTCAATCCACGCTTCCGTGTGTCGTACTGTTTCTGTAGAATCATTTACATAATTACAATACCCATTTACTTTATATATTACTCCATATCATATGATTACACAATGCTATCAATGACAGACATTTTGAGAACAATTTGCTGAATATTTGTCCATAACACACAGACAAAAAAAGAAGATAATTTTTGTGTTCTCAGCTTCAGCTCAAGTAAAGGTATTATTACGCTATAAGCACAAACAACACAACATGTGATATTAGTGTTTAGGAGCTGAAGATTGAAGACAATCTTTTATAATCTCTTGAATCCTTCTCTGCAACACCTTGTCTTTAACCCTAACAATCATGTCTTCATAGAAAGCTTGAAGCCTCATAAGCTGACTCTTATCTGCACTCTCCAGCATCTCTCCCCACTCTTTTCCCATATCGAAATACCCAGAAACCCGTAATGAATACGGAATATCTTCCTCTTCGTTAAAAGGTTTTCCGAATATTGATCCATGAAGTATGCTTGCATATCTTTCCATCACCATTAGTTTCGCTTCTAAGCGTTTAACCTCCTCCATTGTTGATGAGCTTTTCTCAGCTTCAGCTACTTCTTCTTTGTCCGGTTTCAGTTCATTTGGCCAGAAGACGGGAGTAGGGACATAACAGTCCACAACATTCCCGGTCCCGAGCACTCCATTCCTTCCTCTTCCCCAAGACCATAGCTTGTAACCACCGTTCGCCACAAGAACTGTATGTGCAGCCCCGCAAGAAACCTGAACCGGGTCACGAAATCTTGACCCACCTGAGATCTTTCTTGGTACACTGTCATCTCCTGCTTCCACGTCTATGAAATTGACATCAGGGCATAACCCCAATCCCCTCTCCATTCCCCACGACCACACGAATCCCTCAGATGACACCACACTAGTGTGGAATAACCCACAGTCTACAGAGACTAAGTAAGCATGTTCCGGGATCTGTGAAACTGGCTCTGGAATCAATGAGCTCTTAGTACTTCCATGCCCTAGCTGGCCATTTTCTCCAAAGCCGAAGGTCCAGCACATGCTTGGTCCTTTTGGTGTCTCCTTCCTGTAGGTGAGGAGAGCTGTGTGATGAGCACCGCAAGCTATGTCGTATACTATAAGATCAGAGTTCTGGTTAAATGTCTCCACAATCTGAGGCCTTGCACGGCTTTCTCTATCCCCAAGCCCTAACTGGCCATGATGATTATTGCCCCAAGAATACAACACAGATTCATCATCACTGTTGTCTTTGGGGATCTCCCCGGGACCAACAAGGGCAACAACGTGTTCATCCCCACATGCTACCTTCAAAACAGTCCGGCCATGAAACTCGGGTATAGTAAATGGAATCGGGATGCTAGTAAAAGACAAACGAGGCTCAGCTCCGCTGTCTTGTGGTGGAACATTTCCCCACATCCAAAGACCTCCGACATTATCAATGGCAAGAGACATCATGGATCCAGCCTTGACAGCACAAACCTACCAAGAAAATCGTTGTGCTTCAGGCTCTTGACTTATAAACCGACACTACGAAAGCGTTTCCAGGACTGTACCTTTAAATCTGATCTAGCTTCTCTGCCTGAATCATTAAGAGAAGAACTAGATGCTTCTTGTTCAAAGAAATTTTGTATCAAGCATGGTGCCAAGGAGTTCTCCCCATCAAAACCAAGTTGGCCATCCATTTACCAGTCAAGGATTTAAGGCATTATAGATTATAGCAGCCAATGTACGAAATACAGTTATCAAAAAACATCATATCAAGCTAGACATTGTAACATTCAGATAAAGGATACAAATGTTATAACCCCAACACCAAACAGAGCCATCATCTGCCAAAAGCTTACAAGGCAAAAGAAACAAAAGACAAGAGGATGGTCA